TCGGCCTCATTACCCCGCTTTTATCCGTGCCCTTAGGCCTCTTCGGGGCGTACCGAGAAATGTAGTCCAGGAAGAGAACCGGCGAAGGGCGAAAAAATAAATGAAAAATAAAAAAAAAGAAAAGAAACACACAGACACGGGCTGCTTGTCAATCAAGATGACTTATTTGTAAGACCGCAGAGAGACAAGCCGAGGGAAGTATGTAATGCAGGCTTTGGGGGCCTCCCGCTGCCCACCCCGCCGCCGCGGTTGTTGGAATCCAAACCCGTGGGCGAGCGTCATCTCGGCCCGGTGGTGGTCATCACAAAGTGAGATTGCATTTCGGGCCCACCGCCGGTTTGGATTCTTTTTTCTCCCCTTCATTCTTGTTTGTCTTTTGTGGCTGGAGCGCGCGCGTCTGTTTTCTTTTTGACGCGTACTGTTTATTGGCCGTGGATTTGCAGACATTGCCGCGCCATAAGCCAGGCGGCGGCGTGGCGGCGGCGCGGCGGCGCGGCGGCGCGGGAAAAGCGAAGGTCCCTCTATCTCTATTTATGTCAGGACCCGGGCCATGCGGCGCGGCGGGCTACGCCATGAGCTCCGCCACGAGCACCGCCCCGCCCGCCATATGATGCGCCATCGCGGTGACGTAAACCTTTCAAGAGGGGCGTTAGCGTTCGGTGCAGCGGGCGCGGCGGGAAGTGTGTGACAGTGTCACCGGGACGGGGCGCGGCCGCAAGTGTGACAGTGTCACCAGGGCGGACGGCGCGTCTGAGCAAAGTGTGTGACAGTGTCACCGCGGGGACAGGGGCTCGGCCAAGTGTGACGGTGTCACCGCGGACAGGGCGCGGTTGAGTGGGAAGTGTGACGGTGATGTCACCGGCACGGAGAACGGCTGTGAGGGGAAGTGTGACTGTGACAAGCGTCGCCGAGGAGGTGGAGCAGGCGGGGCGTTGTGGAAAGTGTGACAGTAGTGTCAACGAGACGGGCGCGCGGTTGCGAGCATAGGGGAGTGTGACAACGTGACAGCGTTCACCGCGGGACGGGATACGCGTCCGTCGTCGTCGGTGGTATGAGATTGTGACAGTGTCACGCGCGGCGGCTGGCCGAGGCCGAACCTGTGAGGCAAAGGGAAGACCCATATCAGCAGCGGCCGAGCAGCCATAGGGAGCGGCAAGTCCCAGTCGCGCTGCATGGTTACTTGTCCGCCGGCGCGAGCGAGCAGAGCGGAGTGCGCGGCGCGGGGGCGGAGCAGAGCGGAGCCGGGCTCCAATCTGAGGTCCATAAGTCCTCCAGGCCGGCCGCGCGGGCGCGACGACGCGCACATGTTTATTTTGGGACGTACATTTCCCACGCGAAGCGGGGCGGGCGGCGGCGGAGGACACGCGGACAAGGAGCAAGCCGTGCCGATTCTGCTCCCTCCCCCTCTCTTCCTTTTCCCATTCCCATATGACGACGATGTGAAGCTCTCGGTGTCGGACGCGGGACTGCGCTGGGAGACCGTGCGTAATTCGAGGCGAAGTAATAATTACATTAGAACGTCTTACGCTCGTAATTTACGCGATTCCTCGTTCCATTTTCTCAAGGCAATTTTTAAAGTTTTTGATACATGCAATCATTTTACATTGATTACATTTTTTTGATTTTAATTTTGATTAATCACCCTTTCGGGTATCGAGGGGGAGGGAAGTTGAGTCCCAGGGGCGGTATCCCTCCCGTCCCGTGTGCTCGCCGAGGGGTCCTTGACTCATAAAAATCAGTGTACACCCCTAGAAAAAATCACAAAAAATCAACGAAAAGTCAGAAAAAATCACAAAAAAATCGAGAAAAAATCTCAAAAAAAAAAACAACAACAACAAGAAAATCAGAAAAATTGGTGTACGCTAGAATTTATACTGAAGGACCCCTCGGTGCTCGCCGAGCCCGCCGCGCCCCGGCGAGGCCCGCCCAGCCCAGCCGCCAGCAGATTGGACGGGGCATTGACAGCTGGTCCGTGGTGTCCGACCCCGACCGACCCGCTGCGCTAGGGGCCGTGGGCGTCCCCGCTGCCCCGCCCCGCCCCGGGTTCATCTCAATCGGTCGCCCACCACAGTAATATCGCAAATTACACGCTCGTATTGGACGGGGCGGGGAGCGTGCCAAGAGCAAAGGCCGGGCTGGACGCATAGCGTCAAAATATTAAACGGCATAGTGTTCAACAGAGAGGATTGCACTGAAAATCAGAAACCTTCAAATTCACAGGCATTTAATAAAAACAATACTAAAAAATAAGTTATAAAATAATATAAGAATTGCGATCATGAGTTCAGTCGGCTAGATTTCCATTGGGTCCTCAAATGTACAAGCAGTCCTGGAACGTCTTGAGATTTATCTAATAGCGCTGCAACCTTCTCAAAATTTGGAAGTGGCGGGTTTGTTTCTAGCACTGCAAAGATAATCAATTATTACTTTCGGTATCCACAAAGAAAAGTATATTTATCACCGATTTAGCACTTACATTTCCAAGAAGTACATTTTGGATCATGAGTTCCAGATGGTCCTGAGTATATTCGCCGGAACTTGGCTGATCTGAAGGGCAATGGCTCATTGTCAGCAGATTTGAGGGTACTTGCGAATGTGAACAGATATATCTCAGATTCATCTTCTGACTTCAAGAGGCGGATGTGGCAACCCACATGCTTCTTATACAAATCTTTCATAACTATAATACTATCAAACATTTTCTTAGCTTGTTTTTTCTCTGCCTCAATATCTGAAACATCCGTAATTTTTTATTAATAGGTAATTCTAATAATAAAAAAAAGATTTGCAAATAATTAGTGAGGTAAAAATCCATACCATTTTTAACAGCAAAGTGCATCTGTTTTAAAGATTCATTTTCCTGAGCCAATTCAGGTACTAAATCCTGTTTCTCAGACACTGTTGAAGAGAGAACTTGACATTCCGCCTGAAGATTACGACATGCTTCATCTCCTTTGCTGAGTTTAGATTCAAGTATTTCTTTTTCTAATGTCATTTTGCGAACTTTGGCATCACCTTCTTTTATCTTTCCTACGAACAAGAGATAATGCAAAAAAATGTAACAAATAATAAACAAAACTGGAAAGCACAAGTTAAATAAAATAAATAAATAAAACAGAGGTGGGACATTGTACCTTCACTAGACACTAAGGCATTACGATCAGGATTTTCCTAAGATTTCTAGCAATGGTAGAACATCCAACACTGTTGCTTTCTTAAAATGAATCAATATGAGTCTACTTACTGTCAATTTCAGAGCAATTCAGTAATTCTGAACAAAGCTGGAAACATTGAGTATATTTCTGTTGCAAAACATCCGCATTTTTAGTTGTTACTTTTTCGTGTTTACGGATTTCGTTTGGGTCAGAAAGAAACTGGCATTCCCAAAATTCGTTCACTTCCTGGATGGAAATATTTTTCATTAACTAATTTACAATTTTAAAGCTAAATCAAACGTTACTATAACCCTAGGTGAAGTTGAATGGAGTGTAAACAAAGGATCGTTCAAAAGTATACTAGAATGAAAACTCCAAAGCAGAGTGACAATTAGTGAAATTAAAAGATAAAAGAACCTCCTGAGCAGCCATCTTCGTAAATTTAGTCGTCTTCACAAGCGTAGAAGCTTAAAAAGAAACGTAATTTCTGCCGGAATTTGAATTTCGTAAATAAACGTAAACAAAGACATATGACGATCGACTCTTCATGGCGGTTGAACGGCACCGTACCCAAACCCAACAGAGTTTAAAAAGAGTCTACATGCCAGTAAATCTATTTAAAGACAACTACAAAATAAATGAACGTGATTTTGAATTTATTTTGTAATCTTCAACATATCTAAATGATTAAAAAGCCAAGCCGCTTGCCTGAACCAGCGAGTCAACCTCGTTGCAATGTTGGCAAGGCGTGCCTCCCTGTCGGTGGACTGAAACGCGACTGTGGCGCACTCTCTCGGATCTCACAAAGTCCACGGTCACTGCCGCACTACTCCGCGCTCAGCGGACTCTATGCTCCAGCCACCGATACTCCGCGACCCCAACCCAAATCACGAGGGGCGGATCCAGGAGGCGACCATGAGGAGGCCCCTGGAGTGTCAGAGACATCATGGGAAACAAAATTACTTGGAACTTTGTGTCTTGTAAACTTTACGGGGGACTTCAACTTTTCATAAAGTCAGAATCGTTTTCAGGTTCCGGTTTGCTTTGTTAGCCCCTAAAAGTCGCGTGGTATCGTTTAGGACGTTTAGGATTTCTATTCCGATTACGATACCTTGGGACCAAAAGACCAATAATTGGACAGCCTCACTTCTCCGTTTCTGAGAAAGGTTTCATAAAATCACCCAAAGTAAAAGAGAGCGAAGGGGACACCCGGGTTTGAACCGGGGACCTCTCGATCTGCAGTCGAATGCTCTACCACTGAGCTATATCCCCAACATATAAGCAATGTAAGCGCATTGGGGAACACATTGGCCGATGCACCTCGCGCCGAGTCAGACGAGTTGGAGTGGAGGCGGGGTTGTCAGTCTTTTTCATAAGAAGGAGAAAGACGAAAAATAAAATAGAATGGAAGGGGACACCCGGGTTTGAACCGGGGACCTCTCGATCTGCAGTCGAATGCTCTACCACTGAGCTATATCCCCAACCCATGTGGAGAATGAGCGCATGCGGGACCACATGGGGCCCGCGCCGAGGCAGACGCGTTTTACGCGTGGGCGTCCGAAAAAGCCTTAGACAGCGACCCGTGGCCTGGGCTCCGCCACCCCTACCCCACTCTCCATCTCTCGCCTCACGAAATACGCAGAGGATGCATTTTCAAGCCCGAATGCAGTTGTTTGTCGGCAATATTCTGGACAAGTCTGCACTTTACCTCTTGTTTGAACGAAAGGGGAGGGGAGACACGTAGAGACAGAGAGCGAGTGAGCGAGAGGGGGCGAGAGGGGGAGAGAGGGAGAGAGAGAGTTAGTGAGAGAGAGAGAGAGAGAGAGAG